TCCTGCAGTGCCACAACGATGCCACCCGAAGGTTGCAGGAACAGCAACTCATATTCCGCTTGGGAACCCTGCAGCCCAATGGTATCAATGTGGATTTCACAAGCTTCAAAATCTCCCCTCCCCCTACTGCATCCCAAAACCAGCCCAGCTCGTCCCCGCCTCCCTAACCTGTCCTTCCTCCCACCTATCCCCTCCTCCCACCTCAAGCCCCACCCCCATCTCCTACCTACTAACCTCATCCTGCCCCCTTGACCTGTCCGTCCTCCCTGGACTGACCTATCTCCTCCCTACCTCCCCACCTACACTCACCTTTACTGGCTCCATCCCCACCTCTTTGACCTGTCTGTCTCCTCTCCACCTATCTTCTCCTCTATCCATCTTCTATCCACCTCTCCCTCTCTTCCTATTTATTTCAGAACCCCCTTCCCCTCCCCCATTTCTGAAGAAGGGTCTAGGCCTGAAACGTCAGCCTTCCTGCTCCTATGATGCTGCTTGGCCTGCTGTGTTCATCCAGCTCTACACTGTGTTATCGCAGATTCTGCAGCATCTGCAGTTCCTACTAGCTCTGTAGAAATGTAATATTTTCTTAATTGAATCTTGTGGCATGGCATATTGTGACAGGAGCAACAAAATAGGTCAACTCAGAAATATCAAGAGCACAGAATGTACGCTGCCAAACATAGTATAACTGAACTTGTCATCTCACTAGCTGAAGTTCAACAAGCAGAGTGATTCCCTACATAATAATAAACCTGCAACAATGGATAAATAAAGTTTTTCACTCTTTGTTAGCCTTTTTCATTACCTCTGAAATTTACTCAGTGTCACCCTTTGTGGTGTAAGTGTAACTCATAAATAAATAAATTCAGGTTAACAATACACTTTTGCAAAGCTATGCGTGCAAGCATATTAGCGATGCAAGGATATTGACAGTAAATCTCATTATTTGTATTGCCACTTGTCTTAAAATTTATTCTGTAGATCCTTCCAGGAATGTGTTGAACGTAAGATATTATATTCACTGTGTGGCATGATTGGCAGGCCAATCTTGGTGTTTTTGTGTGAGGCTGGATAATAAAAATCAGTTGAAGGTGTAATTGGTATTTCCTAGGGTACTGTGTTTTAGTGCTGTTTGGGATATTTTAAGCAGAAAACAATTAAATAGAGGGAATCACTTTAAGCTTCCTCTTTTTCCCCTCTGCAGACCATAAAGGATCTGTGTGAATGTCTGTGTGTATTTGAGTGTGTTTGTGTGAGAGAGTGTGTATGTTTTGAATTTAATAATTTTATATTTTTATGTCTGCAGTTTCTGTGAATTGACAGCTGAATTTGCCGTAGAAACGTATGGCGTCACAATCAGGTATAGTGTTTGCAAAAAAGTAATGTTCTAGACTGGATGGTATGCATCTGTACTAGCACTGAATTGCATAATATGGAACTGAAAATAATCAAAATCTTGGAAAACGCCTGAAGCTTGATCTTCACTACCAAGGTGGGCAGTATGAGTCAGGACATTTCCCAACTTGGCAGACTCACTCAGCTCAAAGGGCACTGTTCATATTTTCATAGGAGGAGGGGTGGAAGAGAGACCTTTCAAACTTGGTGGTAGATCTTTAATGTTTTAACAAAGATCTGTAGCTCAGGTTGTAGTTGGAGTTGTTGGTTGGTTCGCCAAGCTGACTGGTTTTCATGCAAATGTTTCATCTCCGTTCTAGGTGACATCGTCAGTGCTGTGTAGCCTCCGTTGAAGCACTGTTCTTCTGACCTGCTCTGAATTTATATGGTTCCGTCTGTCATGGTGATGGGGTCTATTTCAACATGTTTGTAATTGCATCGGTGGTTGAAAACCAGGCCTCCAGGAATTCTCATGCTCGTCTTTGTCTCGCTTGTCCTAGTACTGTAATTTTGTCCCAGTCAAATTGCTGTCCTTCTGTGTTGAGTGTATTGAAATGAGGGAGAGTTGGTTGTGACGTTTTGCTGCATGTTGGTGTTCGTGTTTCCTGGTGATGAGTTTCCTGCCCGTCTATCCAATGTAATGTGTCTCGCAGTTGCTGCTTGGTATTTTATATATCACATTTGTCCTGCTCATTGTGGGTATGGGGTCTTTTGTCTTTGAGAGACCAGCATGAGAATTCCTGGAGGCCTGGTTTTCAATCACCAATGCAATTAACAAACAAGTTGAAATATCATACCACTGCGGTACAAAACCGGAAACAAGACTGCCCACCTGACAGACCGGACCATACAAATTCAGAGAGGGACAGAACGACAGCATTTCAACAGAGGCTACACAGCACTGACAATGTCACCTAGAAGGGAGACAAAATGTTTGCATGAAAACCAGTCAGCTCGGCGACCCAACCAACAACTGGTGGTAGGTCATGCGACAAGTAGGTTTCTTAGTAGGCCTGCCTTGGTTCTCTGGGATTTCCCCTCTCTCCTCATACACTCCCACCCCACATTCATATCACAGCCACAGCCTCCACATCCCTTCATACCCCAAGCCACCTCCATGGCTACTCACCCAGTATCCACTATGGGTGGATATCAAGAGTTAACGTAACAAAACAGAAATTGCTGGTGAACCTTAGAAGGTCTGGCAGCATCTGTGGGGAGAAGGTAAAGTTAACATTTTGAGTCCAGTGACTCTTCATCAGAACTGGTTCTAGAGTCCACTTTTTAGAGTCCGTTATTAAGGATGAGTCTGCGGAGTTCTTGGAAGTTCATGGTAAAGTAGGGGCAAGTCAGAATGGCTTCAAGGGACGTCATACCTGACAAATCTGTTAGAATTCTTTGAGGAGGTAACAAGCAAGTTAGACAAAGGAGTGCCGGTGAAAGTGATTCATTTGGATTTCCAGAAGGCCTTTGACAAGATGCTGCAAGGAGGCTGCTAAGTAAGAGCCATGGTATTAGGGCCAAGGTATTCACATGGATAGAGGTTTGGCTGACTGGAAGTAGGCAGAGGGTAGGGATGAAGCGGTCTTTTTCAGGGTAGCAGCCAGTGACAAATGGAGTTCTGCAGGGATTGTGTTGGGCCAATTATTCACATTGTACATGAACTATCTAGATGATGGAACTGAGGGCATTGTTGCTAACTTTGCAGATGACACAAAGTGGAGAACAGGTAGTGTTGAGGAATCGGGGAGGCTGCAGAAGGACTTGTCAGGCTAGAAGAGTGGGCAAAGAACTGGCAGATGAATGCAATGTGGGAATGTGTGAAGTTATGCACTTTGGTAGGAAGAATAGAAGCATGAACTATTTTATAAATTGACAAAGGCTTTGGAATTCATGAGTAGAAATGTACTGCTCAGGCTGTTAAGACTCCGGTCAGACTGCATTTGGAATATTGTGGGCAGTTTTAGACCCCGTATCTAAGGATGCATGTGCTGGCATTTGAAGGGGTCCAGAGAAGGTTTTTGTAGTGATTGGAATAATGTCAGCGAGATGGATCTCATAGAATACGAGTTTCCTGGTTGGGGCTGTAACCTGTCCAATCAGAGAGACCAGGCTGACAGATATAAGCAGGAGTGTCAGGGGTTCTTCTCATTCTAGGAGCCAGCTCTGTGCTAGCTGGGTCAGTGTCCTGTACAATGCACATGTAAATAAAGGGTGACTTGGTGATGGGATACCAATATTCGTAGAGTTATTTCACTTTTCAAGAATGATCCTGGGGATGTCGGGCTTGTTAAATGAGGGGTAGTTGAGGACTCTGAGTGTGTACTCGATAGAATTGAGAAGGATGAGGTGGATCTGATTGAAACTTATGAAATACGGAGAGGCCTGGATAGAATGGAGTTGGAGAAAATGTTTCCACTAGTAGGACAGACTAAGAACCAAGGGCACAGACTCAGAGTGAAGAGATGCCCCTTTAGAACTGAGATGAGGAGGAATTACTTCAGTCAGAGGGTGGTTAATCTGTGGAATTCACTGCCACAGAGGGCTGTGCAAACCAAGTCATTGAGTGCATTTAAGACTGAGATAGGTAGGTTCTTGATTGGTAAGGGGATCAAGGGTTACAGGGAGAAGGCAGCAGAATGGGATTAAGAAAACATATCAGTCATGATCGAATGGAGCTTTAGACTTGATGGGCCAATAGCCTAATTCTGCTCCTCTGCCTTATGGTCTTATAAAAATGCTTTTAGCAATATCATGGAACTGTCACCCAAACATACTTCATACTGAAAAGCAAAACTCCAGAACACATTAGAAACTGTTAACTCCTCATGTTCAATTTTTTATATTAAAAAAATTCCAGTCAGTGACTACATCAAAAGATGCTATTCTCTTATTACTCTCTTTAAACTTTAGTCAAGATGTGAAACCTGCCTAGTTCAAGTCTCTCCTACGAAGAAAAACATGTTTCAACATCCACCCTGTCAAGTTCCCTCAGGATCTTATTTGTTTCAATAAGATTAACTTGATTCTAATCTACAGTGTGTGCAGACCCAACCTGTTGAACATTACCTCACAAGACCCTGGAAATCCTCATCCTAGAAATTAGTTGAATGAATATAAACATATATTACCTGCAATCTATAAAGCATTCTTAGTGTATCTCTAAATAATCAAAGGTTTTCTGTCATTACAGAGAAGACGGCACTATAATTGTCTCTTTGGTGTGGTCCTTTATATTTATTCTACTCTGCAGTTTTGCCTACAGTTACTATAAGTATATGAAGATCTTTGGAGAGATGCTGTACTACAAACAAATTAAATACGCTCGATAATGTAGTTCTGCAATCTACAGAACAGAGTCATCATTATGGATTACATTGTTCTCTTTAACTTACTATAAATAAATGCTTAATTTAATATCCTTATCCAATTATCAAATGCTCAAAATGCTTGTGAGAATTTCAATGTTATTCATTCCAGCATGCTAAATAACACATTGTCAATGAACTTTTACAATAAAGTGAGGACTAGCTTTCATGTACTGTCTTTCAATGGTTTCTTTTGGGGGTAGTTGTGTAGGTTTACACAAATTTATAAATTGAAAATAGATTGTCTAGCCCAGGTAATCTGTGTTGCTGTTTAATCTCTACATGAAAGTAGTTCAATTCCTTATGCCCAATCTACCCCTATGTAATTTGGATTTCTATGGAGATCTGAAATAAAGACAAAAATTTATGTAAATACCCAATAAGTCAAGTAGAATCTGCAAAGAGAAATGTAAACAAGTTGGATTTTACAGCAATTGCAGGAGTGCAACCATCAAAGCCCAGAGTGCCCCTTGCAAGGTCAGGAGTCACAACCTGACTTTCAATTAAATGGCCACTGCCCCTGTGAAGGAACTGCTCCCAAGAGTATGCTGGCCAATCAAGAGTCAGCAGTGGTACAGGGAGCCGTGATTGTTGACGGAGCTCCTCCTGGGATTTAGTAAGTATCAGTAGCAATGCATTCTCAAAGTAAGGCAAGTGGGATCATCCAGGCTCAAGTAGAGATGGGATGGAAGTGGTCATACGCTATGTGGTGCAATTACCATATAGGGGTCTTTGCTGCCTGGAGGTCACAACATGGGGTGCAGAATGCACAAAAAAAGAAGGCCCTCAATTATAGCCTGCCGGGGAACGAATTGTGGTGGTCTATCCAAATGGCAGGGAGTTCCCAAATGGTGTGGATAGGCTCTTAATTGGCCACATTAAAACAGTGACTACACACCAAGCAAAGTGCTTTGAGGTGTCCAGTGGTTGTGAAAAGCACTATATAAATGCAAGTCTTCTTTCATTTGAGAATAAAGAGGTCCTTAGCTGATAGAGCCTTCAATGTTGAGGAAGATCCTCTTCACAGGATTGATTCTATCTGTTGCCTTTGTGAAGAGTCCGACTATTGTGGTCCTCCAGTCTGGTAGTTCCTTTTCAGTATCATGGTATGCTTCAATGATTCAAACAATTCCACAGCACACCCAGTTTTTCCAACTAAATTGATTGCTTATAATGTCACAACTACTTGCATTTACTGTGGTTACAGACTTACTGAAGAGATTTGTTAACAGTGTATACAAAATCAAAAGACTGATAACTCGCTTTTAATTATTAACACATGTTTTATGAGTTGTAATTTTGGTTAAATGTTGTTTTAGATGACAAAATCTTTGTATTATATTGATTTTCATTACCAATGGAAAAATTCACGACATACGTGGACAGTATCATGGCACACCAGTTGAAAACTTCAGCTGTTTTGGTTCTAGTTCTGCTGCCATGAGGCTGCCTTGAAAGCTGCTAGGCTCCAAATTCATGGTGGTGGTGGTACTTATAGTTTTTTTGTATTATTTAATGGCATGTGAGTGACAGTGGAAGGGTTGCCATTTATTGCTCATCCCTAATTTACCTTGAAACGGTGATAGTAGACACCTTGAACCACTGCAGTCTGCAGTTGTGGAGATACATACAAAGTGTTATTAGAAAAAGAGTTCCAGGTTTACGACCAAACAACTGTGAATAAACAGTCTTATTGTTCCAATTCGGGACTGCATGTCTAAGGAATTAGAACTTACAGGTGGTAATGTTCCATTCTATGCCTTTGCTGTCTACATCCTTCCAGTTGGCAGAGGCCTTTGGTTTGAAACGTGCCGTTGAAGGAGCCTTGATAATTTTCTACAATGAATCTTAAATTTGGTTGATTCTGTTGAAGCTATGTGTTGGTGTTGAGGGAGTCACTTTTAGCTGATGGATGGAGATCCAATGAAATTGGCTGTTTTGTCAGTGATGGTTTCAAGCTACTTGAGTCTTATTGGAGTTGTGCACGTCCAGGCAAGTGTACAGTATTCCATCTCCTTGTGTTTGGTAGATGTTGGCGTTGGGTATATAGGGGCGAGTTCCTTATCACAGAATTCCCCATCTTTGACCGGTTCTTATAGCCACTGTAGATGCAATGCTGTTGAAGATGCCAATTTCCACGAGGTATTGAGGTTATCAGTATCTACACTTTCAGCAGAACGTCAAAGCAAGCAGAATTTTATTGTTAACACAGTGTGGAGCTGGAGGAACACAGCAGGCCAACAGCATCAGAGGAGCAGGAAAGCTGATGTTTTGGGTCTGGACCCTTCTTCAGAAATGGGGCAAGGGAGCTCTGAAATAAGTAGAGAGTGGAGGAGTGAGGCTGGGGAAGGTGGGTGGGATGGTGATAGGTGAGTGCAGGTAGGCAGTGGTGGGGATTGGTCAGTGAGGTGGGAGGAGTGGGTAGGTGGGAGAGAAGACGGACAGGTCAAGGAGGTGGGGATGAGAGGGAGGGTTGGTCATGGTATGAGGCCAGGGGGTGGGGAGATTTTGAAAGTAGTAAAAGTCCACATTCAGACCGTTGGGTTTAGGCTCCCATGGTGGAATATGAAGTGCTGCTCCTCCAGTTTCCGGGTGGTGTCATTGTGAACTGGAGGAAGCCCAGGATGGACATGTTGTCCAGGGAGTGGGAGGGGGAGTTGAAGTGGTTCGCGACTGGAAGGTGTTGTCATTTGTCATGAACAGAGCGCAGGTGCTCTACAAAGAAGTCTCTGAGACTCCTCTTGGTCACTGGAAGGTGTTGTTTGTCACCCACAGAGCGCAAGTCCTCTACAAAGCAGTCTCCAAGCCTCCACTTGGTCCTTCAACTCCCCCTCCCACTCTCAGGATGATGTCCATCCTGGGCCTCCTCCAGTGTCACAACACCACCACCCGGAAACTGGAGAAGCAGCACCCCATATTCCGCCTTGGGAGCTTCCAACCCAATGCTCTCAACGTGGACTTTACTAGTTTTGAAATCTCCCCACCCCCAGCCTCATCCCATGACCAACCCTCCCTCAGCCCCTCCTCCTTGACCTGTCCATCCTCTCTCCCACCTACCCACTCCTCCACTCTCTACTTATTTCAGAGCTCCCTTGCCCCATTTCTGAAGAAGGGTCCAGACCCAAAACGTTAGCTTTCCTGCTCCTCTGATGCTGCCTGGCCAGCTGTGTTCATCCAGCTCTACACTGTTAACTCTGACTCCAGCATCTGCACTTCTTACTATCTCAGAATTTTATTGTTTATCACTTTGTGTATGGAATCTTGCCATGAATAAATTTTCTATTGTCATTCATTAATTCAGGAGTGAAAGATTGTATTTTGTTTGTATTCATTCTCAACCATCTGGAACCTTCATACTTTCACTCCTACAACGAGGCAGGGAGTCAACTTAAAATTTGTTATACATACTATATGTTCAACAGCAATCGAGATCCCATCATGTTTGTTTTGGGACTATATGAAGCAGTAAGGGTTTCAACTGTACAATTCTGAGGAGAAAGCAAATTTCGTGGAACATTTCAGGCCCAATCACGAACTCCCAACTGTTGGGTGGACACGAGTGCGCAAGCGCATGTGGTACCGCTCCGGTGGGGAAACTATTAGTGGTGGAACTTTTCGCGCATGCGCTTGTCGATAGTACGCCGGGGAAGGGTTTGACTGCTGCACCGCAACCGCCATCTTGGCAGTGAGACAGCATCTGCTTCAGGTCCGGAAGGAAATGCCGCATTTGTATGAGTCTACGAGCATTATGGAAGGATATCAGCAAGCAAGACCCACACAGTACCGCTTCTCGCCTTATTCTTTTAATGGAGGGTGAGTGTGAGGTACCTTCAGACCAAGTCGGGCCTTGGCAGAGGATGGGAGGAGGTTGGACCTCGGAAAGGGAAAGACAGAGGAAGAAGGTTCTGGGATTGGTGTGTGTTGGCGGGGGGCAGGGGCCTGTGACTGGGGAAAGTGGGCAAACAGGATTTGGAGGGGGAGGGCTTAATAGGTCTGGGAGGGAAATTTGATGGGGGGGGCGGTGGTGAGGGTGTTAAGCAAGGGAGGCTTAGGAATCTATTGGGGGAATTCAGAACAGGTTCGCAATGGGCAGTGAACAGGTCCATGGAATGGATGGAAGAGAACAGAAGTTAACTGGATAACTTGACTACAGAAATAGGTCCGTTGGAGAGAGGTGAAGCATGACCACTTTGGAGTCTACAATAAAAGGCCTATGTCGCTTGTAACAAAACATCCACAAAGTTGATAAGTTGGTAACAAAAGCTAAGCTCAGGGTTAAAATCAGTGAGCTAGCGCTGAACCTGGGCAGTGTGTTTGACAAGGTGTATGGGGACCTGATGCCAACTTTCTCTTTCACTTTCACCCATTCACCTGCTGTTAAACACCATTGATAAACAGCTCCAGTCAATAAAAACCAAAAGAACTACAGATGCTGTAAATCAGGAACAAAAACAAAATTGCTGGAAAAGGTCAGCAGGTCTGGCAGCATCTGTGGAGGAGAAAACAGAGTTAATGTTTCGGGTCCGGTTCAGTTCAGGGAACAGTTCTGAGGAAGGGTCACCGGACCTGAAACGTTAACTCTGTTTTCTCCTCCACAGATGCTGCCAGACCTGCTGAGCTTTTCCAGCAACTTTGTTTTTGTTTTAGCTCCAGTGAATGTGTGAGAATGGTGCAAGACCAATCAACATTGCACACTAGCAGCAGATCTTCTGATAGAGAAGAGGGTGTTAGTCTAGTGAGGTTAGTTTCCGGAAGGGATGAAATCAAATTGTTTTTGTTTTGTTTGTAAAAATTGATTCAAGTTTTCAATCTTATTCATTAATAGCTCAGAATAATTTCAAAATTTGCCAGTGATAGCAAACCCAGTGTGGCAAACAGGGTAGATGAAATCAATTGATTGCCACAACGTAGGGTAACAGAATGGGCAGACAGAATTTTAACAGAGGTATGAGGAAATTCATTTT